AATTTATGTATAGGTCTCAACAAAGATGTTAATTATCTCACCCATTACAAAGATAGCTTCCTCACAGACACTAACCTTCCCTTTCTTACCTCTCCTCTGTTCTTAAATCTGATTTGTCATTTTTATGTGTGTTCACATTTTTTTTTATTATATATCAAAGTGATACACAGTTGTGCCAATTTTCTTCCACTATTTGATCTGAGGAAGTGGGTCTGGCCCACGAAAGCTCTTCACCTCATAAACCATCTTGTTAGTCTTTAAAGTGCTACATAGTCCTGCCTTTTGTTTCAGTTAGACCCGACTAACACAGTTACAACCCTGTTTTTTGAAGTATAGGCGGGGCCAGGTGTGGTAGTTTGGGAAGGAAACGCCTTCCCCTGCCTAGGATACCCGCCACCAACCAAGGCCCGGGTCACATTTTTTGTCCCGCGAGGGCTGGTTCATCCCTGGGCCTCGGGGACCAGCCAGTGACCGCGGCAGGTGACTAGAAAGACGGGAACCCCTCCCTGTGAGAAGCAGCCCGGGGAACCTGGGGCAATTTCAAAGATCCAGGAGGAACAAACATTCCCCCGGCTGTCACTTCCAGAACCAGGATCTCGCCTGGAGCCGGTCTCACCGCTGCCAGAGTCCGCGGCGATGGGATAGTCACGCCTGAGCCCCGTGGACCGGGGTGGGCTGGCCCTGGGACCCCCGCCCAGCTGGGGCTGAAACAGCAGCGAAAGCCACAGGGCTCTCGTCTCGGTGGCCCCGCCCACGTGCTGTTTACAATCTCCTAGGTCTGTTTCCAAACCCCTTGGCCCCGGCCCAACGGTGCCATCCGGCTGGCCCACGTCCCCCTCCCCCTGTGCCTGCAGAGCCGTGTAAATAGCACCCGGGAGGCAGCAGATCCCAGTCCCGAGCCTTGCGATCCCCACAGGGCAGGAATTTCACCCGGGGAAAGGGCCCTGGCTTGTTTGAATCAACATGAAAACAAACAGGATGGGGAGCGGGGGGGGGGAAAATTAAA